TAACTACGGCTGCTTGAATGAGAAGTGGACATATGACCAAAGAGATCTAGAATGTGGCCTGGCTCCATAAAAGCAGCTGAACCAATCAGATTCTTGTGCTCAGGAGTTACACTTCAGAAGCTGAAATGATGCACAGAAAGAATTATTGAGGCAGAGTCTGGACCACAAGTGGTCAACATTTAAAAGAAAGCAGAACTGCACTGGCTGCTGTGGCTCAGTGGATTGAGAGCCGGCCTACAAACCACAGGGTCACAGGTTCGATTTCCAGTCAGGGCACATGCCTGGGTTGCTGGCCAGGGTGGGGGACGCTCAAGAGGCAACTACACATTGATGTTTCTGTCCCTTTCTTTCTCCCTCCCTTCCCCTCTCTAAAAGTAAATAAACTTTTTAAAAAGAGAAAGCAGAACTGAGTGAACAGATACTTTGAAAAAGGTTACAAATCATGATAAAGAGCTGGATCAAGCCCATAAATGTGTTCTGTGGCCTGCACAGTATATTAAAATGTTTAAAATGACACCTAGCTTGTGGTCTTTAAAATACCACTCCTCACAAAAAGGAACCAGAACTCCTTGGAGGAATAGCTGCTTCCAGATTAGTGGCTGGGCATACAATAGATGAACCTAGGACATCTTATTGTTCCACAAAACAGGGAAGCTCTCAGAGTCTAACAGGATTGCGTCAAAAGGATATGTGAGCCAGAGACAGGAGAGTATAAGGAATGAATGCAACTGACTAAAACAATTGACTCTATGAACTGAAACAAACAACAACAAAAAATGATTTCAGAAAAACAGTTAACCCTCTGGGCTACAATGGAAATCCAAGGGCAATAATTCCTTACTCTGAAAAATGTCAATTTAAGCCCTGGCTGGTGTGGCTCAGTAAATTGAGCACCAGCCTGTGAACTGAAAAATGTCAATTGAAAGAAATGAATTCTGTATTTTTCTTGCCTTTCTTACATGAATTATACATTTTAGGGTAATCATATGGTCTTAATTGATAAAATCTTTAAGAACAATTCCAATTAGCCCGGCTGGTGTGGCTCTGTGGATTGAGCACTGGCCTGTGAACCAAAAGGTCGCCAGTCTGAGTCCCAGTCAGGGCACATGCCTGGGTTGTGGCCCAGGTCCCCAGTTGGGGGGGAGGGGGGACGGGGAGGCGTGTGAGAGGCAATCAATTGATGCATCTCATGTACATCAATGTTTCTCTCCCTCTCTTTCCCTCTCTCTAAGAAATAAATAAGTAAAACAATTTTTTAAAAAAGATTTTACTTATTTATTTCTTAGAGAGAGGGGAAGGGAGAAAGAGAGGGAGAGAAACATCAATGTGTGGTTGCCTTTCATGCATCCCCAACCGGGGACCTGACCAGCAACCCAGGCATGTGTCCTGACTGGGAATCAAACTGGCGACCCTTTGGTTCACAGGCCAGCGCTCAATCCACTGAACAACACCAGCCAGGCCTAAAATGTTAAAAAAAAGAAAAAAAAATCCAGTTAATATGGAAGGAATAACAATTAGAAAATCATTTCATAACCTTAATGAAACAATAAATTCACATATCAGTCATCCATGCATTCGTAAGAGAAAAATTAACGGGAAGCTTTATAATGGAGGCTTCAAGATACTATCACCTCAGTAGACACAACAGTGGCACCCCCCACTCGCCACAACCATCCAAAATGTCCACATCCCTAATCCTAGGACCTGGGAATGTTACCTTACATGACAAAATAAGTTTTGAAGGTATGATTAAACTAAGGGTCTTGAGATAAAGAGGTTATCACAAGGATGTTTATAAAGGAAGGAGGAAAGCGGGAGAGTCAGAGGAGATGAGATGATGGAAGCAAAAGTGAGAAAGATATGGAGATACTATGCTACTGGATTTAAATATGGAAGAAGGGTTCACCAGTCAAAGAATGCAGGTGATCTCTAGAAGCTGAAGAAGGCCAGAAAATGAAATCTTCCCCAGAGCCTCATAAAATGGGAAGGAACACAGCCCTGATGACATCTTGATTTTAGGACTTATGACCCCTAAAACTGTAAGATAAGTGTGTGTTGTTGTAAGCTACTAAGTTCACAGAATTTGTTACAGCAGCAGCAAGACACTAATACACACACACCTGAACCCACTGATCAATCTCAGCAGCACTACAGGGCACAAAAAGTACTATGTGTTCTGCCATCATGCCACATGAAGTACCTAACAGCACCCATGAAGTACCCTCACCAAAAAGATAGACTTGAGTTTAACTACATCTTTACATTTGATTCCTTCTATAAGAAATATGGGGGACAGGACTGGTTAAATGACACCTCAAGGAAGCAAACAGACAAATCCAAAATGGAGGACATTCTTTAAAGACAACTGTCTCCAACAATATTAACTGCAAGCGTAAAATAAAGGGAGGGCTAGTGAATGGCTCTAGATTAAAGAGACCTGAAAGCTAACAAATTAATTTTAAATAGATATTTTTAAGACAAGTGGAGAAACATGAATGTAAACTGGGTATTTTTAGATAGCATTAAAAATTATTATTAATCTTGTGAGGTATGATTATAGCTGCCTAACACTGTGTTCTGTTTTTAAGAGATTCATGCATAAGTATGCAGGACTGAAACACCATGATATCTGGGATTTATTTTAAAACAATTCAGTATCAAATGAGAAGGGGGAAGCAGTTAGGATAAAACAAGTGTGGCAAGACCGTAATACGTTGAATCTGGGTATTGGGTAATGGTCAACGGACTGTGTTCTCCACAAAACTGAAAACAAACCAATACCTAAACCAATCTGAATTAGTTGGTGACATTTAAAAATCAGGAGCCTTCACATACAAATCTGGATTTCTGACTTCATTTGAAAAATCAAACGCGGCAACAAGGCCTACATCAAGAGATGAGCACTGGCCACTCCAAATTAAGTTTCCAATACTCTCAATTATCTCCCATTTAGCACTGCTGCTGCTTTTCTTATACCTGGCTCAGTTCCTGCTTTTCTGTTATCTGCTTGACAACAGCAGTCGTGTGCCTAAGCTGGTTAAGTAGCAAGAGAATAGCGCAGACACAGGGAGAGCAACAGTAACGGCAAAATGCTATCATGTGGATATATAGACTCCTGCTGTTAGGTTCACTCAGCAGCTTTGGATACAGATATAATTCCTGTAAGACCATGCTACACGATGCTTCCTATATTTATTAAGTGATTCGTAGAAGCAAGGCAGTATGCTTGACATTCTGGAAAATACAAACATGAAAATACTTCCTGCCCACAGGATGCTAACAGTCTAAGAAGACGACAAGGTAGAAACATAATTGGTTACAATATAAGATAAAATAAGTGAGCTTAGGGTACTGTTCAGGGTGGCTCATATGTAAAATTAAAAGAGTGACAAAGTACATAACGCTCCAGGAACAGACCCTGAAGTGCACTGCAGGGCCTGATGGGATTAAACTTTATCAGATGAGCCCTGGCTGGTGTGGCTCTGTGGACTGAGCACCGGCCTGTGAACTGAAAGGGTGATTCCCGGTGAGGGCACGCGTCTGGGTTGCAAAGTCAGGTCCCCAGCTGGGGGTGTGTGAGAGGCAACTAACGGATCTATGTATCTCGTACATAGATGTTTCCCTCTCCGCTCCCTCCCTTCCCCTTTCTCTAAAAATAAATAAAATCTTAAACTTTATCAGATGAGCAACAGTAAGCTGCAGAAAGGTTTTAAAATATAAGTACAAATTGGAGGGGGTAACCCCTAAGATGAGAGTAAAGTCTCTTCCACTGTTCAAATTCTCTGATTCCATGCACTACATCCTTTGAAGAGCCAGAAGCATGACCCCCAAAACGTTGTATCCAAGCCTCTAATAAATGCCATCATGACTTTCTTGGTCAGACATCAGTTTGGTACCTGAAAAGACTATTAAATGGATAGGTCACTGAGCTATAGTTCTGCAGAGTTTCTTTCTCCATTACCACTATTGGCTTCGAATACCTTAAACAGAAATTATAGTGCTCTTATACCTAAGTGCTATTAAAAAGTAATAACAGTTCTTTCTACTCAGTCTAAGACCCATTCTGTTAAAAACAAAAACAAAACCATGTGCTTACTGTGAATGAATAAAATTACCTAAAACGCAATCAATCTTGACTAATATCAAATTATATTAAAGTCTCAAAGAAAAATCTGGTCATCCTAATGGCAAAATGGGACCAAACTGGCATTATGGCAGTAGCTGTCACTGAAGTATCATTGAGGTTTACTTAAAACTTGGCCAAGTCCAGATGCTGGGGTACCAGGAAGGAAAGGACTAAAGACTGAGACCATTTGTGACCAATAATCAACTTCAGTCAATCACAGAAATTACAAATAAAAAGCAAGGAGGAACAAAATTCCAGCACTTTTCTTTCACCTCACTAAACTCCTAAGCTAAGAATCAATTTCAGCTCTGGCGTCAGTTTATTCTACTACCTCGCTGGGCCTCAGTTTCCTTACGTGTAAAAAGAAACCTGTAAGTACCTACTTCAAAGAGGAGCGTACGGACTAAATGGGAATGTATGTAAAGTAGCGTAAGGTCTGCCACACAGCCAGTGCTCAATAAATACCAACTTTCATTATTCATTGTAAGCTTCAATGCTTCCATTAATTATCTTCCTGCAGGTTTCAATGTGTCTTGAGGCCAGTTGCAACAATATTCAACGTCCGAAGACTTCTCTGAAGATCTAAGTTACAGTTCAAGGTCTCTAAGACCAGAACAAGTACAGGGTCGGCCCAGCTCAGCTGTCACCACATCCGCCGAGGCCTCGCGGGGTTTCTACGGTTCCCCAGTATTGGCGCCCAGCTCCGCCCCGCGACCGCCAACCAGCACGGTGAGGGGGCGGTTTCCACCGCGCGCCCTTTGCGCTAGGGGTGGCCTGGCCGCCCTCTAGGCCTCCCCAGGCCTGACACCCACCTCCACGCCTGATCCTCGGTCTCCCCTCGCCTAAGATCTTCCCGCCCCGCCCAGTGCCGCACCTTAAGGTGGGTGCGCAGGCCGCCAACGCCCCCAGACTGGTCGGTGATTTCGTACGCGCCGGTCACCAGCAGGTCCTTGTGGATCTCCTCGCGGAGGCACTTGCGGGAGTTAACAGGCAGATGGAAGGAAATGGCGAAAACCGAGCTGGGACCGAGCAGGAATGACAGCAGCAATGCCAACTGCCAAGGCCCACGCTGGGCTCGCGGGCCAGACAAACCAGACATGGTGCCGGAGACTGTTCACCACCCGGGCCTTTACCGCGCCGGAACCGGGAGGGCCCACGTGACTCACCCCTGACCTACAAATGGCGCCGGCGCCATTTTGGAGACTGGCAAATAGACGAAGAATATATATTAAATCTTTTGAAAGGGAAGAAAAACTGTGATACCATGCCACACCCACAAGTTGGCGTGGTTAAATAAGATTTTCCAAAATTTATTCGTAGATTTGTTATCTTTGTTGAATTTGGTGACTGTTCAGTCAGCCATAGCAAGCAAGGGAAGACCTGGAAGTAATTCTCCTTTAGCTTACGGAAGCAGTGCCCACAAGTTTTAGGGGTTGGTGATACCATAGCAACCAAGCCCCAATAGGAAACAGCCACAAGGCCCTTTGCTGGGCCGGCGGAGCGGCCACCAGCGAGGCGCGCGAGGCGGGGGCGGAGCGGAGCATGCGTACTCCCAGTCCCTTGCCTCCCTGTATGACAGCTGGGACGTTGAACGCTTGAGAGGAAAACTTCGGGAAGCTAAGCGGAAAGATTCTTTGGCTATGAGACAAGCGAGGGCCAGTACCGCACAGAAGGTGTAGAGGTCCCTTGGGGAGTGTGAAGTGGATGGGCGGCCAATTCATGCCCCTGAGCGGGATATTTGGGCTGGGGTAACTGCTCTCTCCCATCCAAGTACTAATCAGGTGCGCCCTGCTTAGCTCCGAGATCGGACGAGATCGCGTGAGTTCTGGGTGCGATGCCCGTAAACTGGAGTAACTGCTCTCTGGATGTACATTTTATTTGGCAAACATTGAGTGCCTTACTTTGGATTTTGTATTTCAGTTGAATAAAGCACCGTGTTTTAATTCAGTCTCAGGGGTGGACCTAATTTGGTTTACCAGATGAACGCTATCAATGGAAGGCAAGTATTTGCGTTTGAAATGTACAAACGTTTTAGGGGTCAGATTGGCTAGTCTGTAGTAAGCAAATTTACACAGTAATCACACTTTAGTTTAACAAATACTTACTGAGTCCCTACTATGTGCCAGACGCTATACGATGCATGTATACCGATAATGTTTGATTAAACACACCACTGCTGGAATGCTATCAAATATTCAGGGCTGAAGATACTATGAAGATGAAAGAAGGACTACATAACAGTCGATGCTTGGAATCATATGCTTTGGTTAATGTTTATTGAACATCTACCGAAATACCCAGAGGATGGACTATCTGCGCTTGGTAATGAACATGAATGTTCTATATTTAAAACTCCTTTCAATCCATCTAGTTCTTTTCCTGGAACTGAAGTCCCACAAACAAAACGAACAAAGGAGCTGTAAAGCATTTAAAAATTTGACAAATACCATGTTTTAACTATTTTATTAAGTGTCCACTTAGGAACGCTTAGTTTGATGATTTTATCCCTGATCTAAGATAAGATGGCTAGTCTACTGGGACGTCCTGACCACGTCCTGACCATTTTCACTGGCCTTTTCCCTGCATGGTGGGGAGTCGGTACCAAGCAGTTTTGTAGTTTATTGTTTATCCTCAGTCCTGAGGCCGTGCTGACCATTAGCAAGAGATTTGCAATCCACAGCCTAGTTGTGTGGTTCTTTCTTTAAATTCCCATCTTACATTTATATAATAGTGTCTATGTTTTTAACTATTTATACATATCTTATTTGACATTTTCAAAAACGATGTGACATAGGCTAGGCAAGTCTGTTCCTGTCACAGATAAGGAAACAGGTTCTGAGAGGCCAAAGAAATTCAGAGAGGCCCAAAGTCCCATAGTTTAAAAGTGACAAAATCAGCCTAAGGGCCTGAGCCTTCTTTAGGAAGGCACTATTATTTATTATTTTACAGATGAAAAAATTGAGACTTAGAGAAGTTGTTACTTTCCTAAATCACAGCTCTCCAACCCTTTCTTGTTCTGTATTCTTTCTTATCCCAGCCTCTAATGCTTTCTTGTCCTTCTTCCTTCCTTTATATTTTTCTCCTCAGCACTCACTACTATCTAATACAATAGACATTTTACATATCGTGGTTATGAATCTGTTTCCCTAGTTTATCTCTTTTGTGAGGGGCAGAGATTTTTATCTATTTTGTTCACTGTTTCATCTTCTGAATCTAAAATAGTGCCTGGCACTTAGAAAGCAAAATAAATAATGGTTCAATGAAGGCCTAGCAGAAGGCCTAATGGCAAATTCGTTATTCCTCATCTGTTTTCACACAAATCCAGAATGTATCTAAAGTGTAGGAGTGGTTTCAGTTTAATCAACAATATGCATATCTTGTATTTGAGTTGAAAAATGTGTTCTTGTGTCCATATATAGACAGAAAAAGACAATTCTCCCCTCTATGCTATGAAACTACAGGGCAGAGTAGATACTCCTAGGGAACCCAAACTTTTAAATTGCATCTGCACAAAAAAATGTACCATTTTACATCTGTGAAAGGAAAAGGCATCATTCTGAATTGGAGAGCAAATGAAAAGCATCCAAAAACTAAAGGAGTTGTTTCTTCCTGGCCTAAGCGTCCCCTGCTCTCCCCTCATCCTGAAACTTCTCCAGCCAGACCCACCTAAGATTCCTGAAGCCCCATGAGCCTCTCGAGGTGAGGGAATGTCATGAGGACACACCCTCTTCCCAGTCTATCCCTAACCCGCAGATTTCTCAACCTTTTGTTTGAATGAAAGAGGGCATGTTTAAAACACACCTCACCCCAGAGAGTGAATCTGAAGCTCTTATTAAAAAATCTGTGTGTGTAATAAGCATGTTGGGCGATTCTGTGGTTGGGAATCCTTGGAAGCGCTTCTGCCTTCTCAACACCTCCTTTAACCAGCCTAATCCTCCAGTGTGGCTTGGGGCTCCCCAGCTTCAATGCAAAAACAGTCAAGGATTCCTAACTCCAGTGCCCCTGCCTGTTCATGTGTACAGCCCTACTCACAGTGTGTATTTAAATAGCTGAAACAAGATGGGTTCTGTGAAGATACAAAAGATCCTTTTGGAAAGCAATTGGGCAATATTTCTAATGTGTCATGCTTTTTGACCAAGAGAGGGATTTCAAGGACCTCTTTTATGGGTCTTCTAAGTTCCAGAGTTCCCAATGTCCTGGTCCTGGAACCTCTGCCCTGCACTCTAGGTGATCTCATCCAGTCCCATGACTTTAAATGCACCCATGGACATTAACTCCCAAATGTGGATCTCCAGCTTTGACCTCTCCCCTAAACTCCAGAGTCTGTATCAGGCTCCCTATTTGACATCGCCACTTGGATGACTAATTGGCAACTCATACTTAACTCTTATTTTCCCCTTCTCCCCTACTCCCAAATCTGCTTCTTCCCCATCTCAGTAAATTACACCACCTTCTACTTCTTCACTGAGACCATCCTTGTTTCCTCTTTATCCTTGTTTCCTCTTTCAGCAAATCCTACTAGTTCTGTGTCCTAAATTTATGGCAATCAGTTTTTACTTCTCTCTAAGCTAGCGGTCTGCAAACTACTGCCTGGAGAAGCAGGCCAAATCCTCCATGCAACCTCCTGTTTTTGTATCTTCCAAGAGCTAAGAAGGGTTTTTACATTTTTAGAAGGTTGTTAAAAAGCGGGAGGGGGAGGAGGAGGAGGAGCCGGAGAGAGTGAGAAGAATGTGCCGTAGAGAGTTTATGTGGCTCACCAAACCTAAAATATTTATTATCTGACCCTTTACAAAAAAAGTTTGCTTCTCTCTCCTAAACAAGATAACTTTCCTATTGTTGTCTTTGCTTCCATCTGCATCCCCACTGTAATCATGCTCCTTATTATACCTTCATTGGTGTTTTTTTTTAAAACGTGAATCAGATCAATCAGAATAAAGCCCAAATACATACCTCAGCCCAAAGGCCACTGTGGTCCGGCTTCCTGCCTGCCTCCCTGATCTCATTTTCCCCAGCGATGACTTCCTCCCGCCATGCTCATCCACGTACTCCCCTGGTCTTCCAAACAGCTGAAACGCCTGCCTGCATCAGGGCCTTTGCATTTACTGCCTCCCTGGAGTTCTCTTGCCCAGATCTTGTCCCATGGACTCTGAACTCTGTAGGCTGCTCCGCATCATTCAGGTCTCAACTCCCGTCACCTCTGACAGAGTCTACCCCGTATAAGTAACCTTGTCCTCAGGTTATCTTTTTTTTTTTTTTTTAGCTTTCTATTATTTTACTTAAAAAATTTTTTTTTTATTTTCAATTACAGTTGTCATGTTAGTTTGAGGTGTACAGCTCAGTGATTAGACATTGTATAACTTACTAAGTGGTCATCCCGATAAATCTCATACCCATCTGCCACCATATGCAGTTATTAGAATATTATTGACCACAGTCCCTATGCTGTATTTACATCCTCGTGCCTATTCTGTAACTACCTGTTTGTACTTCTTTATCCCTTCGCCTTTTTCATCCATCCCCCCAACACCCCTCTCCTCTGGTAACTGTCACAATGTTCTCTGTATCTCTGAGGCTGCTTCTGTTCTGCTTATTTTTTTGATTTTTAGATTCAATTGTTGATAGATATGTATATATTTATTGTCATCTTATTGTTCATATTTTTTATCTTTTTTTTCTTCTTCTTAAAGAAGACACTTTAACATTTCACGTAACACTGGTTTGGTGGTGGTGAATTCTTTCAGCGTTTTCTAGTCTGGGAAGCTCCCAAGGTTACTTTCTATCACATGATCAGATTTTGTTATCTATATAGCATTTGTCACTATTCGAGAGTATCTTGTTATTTGTTTTCTTGTTTATTACCATCCAGACCCACTGGAATTTAGTCCCGAAGAGAGCAAGGTCTTTGTTTTGTGCCTGATAGATCCCTGAGACCAGGCACAACATCTGATACATAGTGGGTGTTCAAAAATATTTGCTGAGTGAATGAATGAAATAATATAACATACTATAAACCATTTAGCACATCAACATAGAGCAGTTGCTCAATAAATGCCAGTTCCTCTATCTAGCATTTAATTGCCATTTTTCATGTGGAGAAGCTGAGGTCCAAAGTTGTTAAGTGACTTGCCTCAGTCCATGCTATGAGTCACAGTTAGAGCTGA